AAATCAGGCGATTCTCGAAAAGGTCGAGCTGATTATTATTTCACTATTTCAAAGAAAACTTAATTTCATGTCTAGTTTTTGGGAAAACATCAAAAGTACAGTTATTTGTTAGCACACATGTACTGCGATACATTAAATTTTCATTGCCATTATTCGGTGTGATTCAATACTTGAGAATATGCGTGGGTGTTGTTCATGAGGACTTGATGATTTGATAAAGTTGGTGGAGATTTGTCTCTCCAATATATATACCCCCGGCAAGTCAATCATTCTGCAACTTTTGTAATTTGACATACAATGTTACCTGTCAAGCCAATAAAAAGCCAGCAATTAAATAATAAGTTCACTGATTGGCCAGATAGTTAGGTGGTAGAATTATGTGGCTAATAAAAAGTACCATAAAGTATCTTGGTAACTATTGTATTTGCTTTATTAGAAACATATATTCATGTGTTTTTGAAAATTACAAAAGCATATCTGTAGTCATAATAAGATTTTGATGATTCAGTATACAACAAATATAGTTTTTGGTTTATACACAGAGGTGGCGACACAAAATCTGCTCACCAACCTTGCGCGCCAAAGGTGTGACCTTACTTGGGGGTTCGGAGACATACTCCCCTTACAGATCCTCTGAAACACTTCAATTTCAGTTGGCAATATAAAATATAATAAAAATTTAAACCACCTCTTGAATACAAAATGCATTATGGACGTACATGTACCCAACTACTGTAATACACTTTATTCTAGCATGAATTAATTTATGTTGAAAAAGCTTTCTTGGTGTTCATGAAATTTATTTTCACTGAATCATCTAGCAAAAAAAATTTCAAGTGGAAATAAAGTATTTTACAGTATTTAAAAATAATGAAATTTTAAAAGCACTAAAAGTTTATATTGCTGAGTGAAAAGTTCTATGCAATACATGTCATCGAGAAAATAAAAATCGGAGAACAGAACTTGTCTCCATGGAAGCAAAGACTTACAAATTTTCCCATAGATTTGAATTTTATTTTGACAGCCATTTTGCATTGCAAAATGAGAAAAAAGACAGACTACTAAAGATTTTGCCTCCACGCATCAAATTTTTCTTTAGAATGTGAAAATGACCAACCACATGGAATAGTTATATAAGTTTCAGGAAATTCCTGTTCCAAGTGTGTTAGCCTCGACAATTTTTAAATTAGAAAGGAATTTAAGTTTCTCATATTCATCTATCTCACTTGAGAAACTCAGGTTCCTCACTGAAAAAAAAGCATCGTATGTGCTTTTACAGAAAATTTTGTTGCATACTTTAGTAGTATGATGAACAAAAATTCCTCCAAACATGGTGGTAAGGACCTCCAGAAGAGGTCAAAGGTTACCTGTGCACCATGGTGACTCATGCATTCACGCCTGCTCATTTTAACACAATATCACAATACATGTACGTTGGGAGTACATTTAACACAAGGGGGTTGGAGATAAGTGACATACTGTTGTTAACCTAGTGACTTTCATAATATGCCAAAATATTTCAAAAACATAGGCAGTGACAATTTCCTTGGAAGTAGTTTTAGAGCCACCACAATAACCTGGTAGAACCAGGCCTTGTTCTATATGAAAACGAATGATCACTTCACTTTCGTATCACTCATCCAAATCAAGACCCAAAAGAGCCAATTATAACTCTTCCAATCCATACTATGACTTATTACTATGTTGAAGAGATTTTAATAACACAGCCGCTCTTAATCACTCGCATTACTGCATTCAGGAGAACCATTTTTAACTTCCAGATTATTTTCAAAAAAGCATGACATAATGCAACATTGTTCTTGGATCGGTTTGGTGATGCAATAAATTGTGACAAACATCTCATCAATACAACCAAATGAGTCAGTCAAATTATGTAGAATGACATAAGGTCATTGACCTCTATTGCAGTATGGAAGGATGGAGCATCGCATGCTATGAATTTAGGTGGGGTTTGTGATTAGTGCTTGTCTGTAACATACATCATTACGTCACATTTACAAGAAATTATTTCTATGCAGTAACCTTGTAAAGGACACTAACCAGTATGTTTCAAAAATGAACAGTAACCTTGAAATTATTTTTTTTTAGTGGTCTATAACAGTCACATTATTTTTTTATCTGATCCGATTTGTTCAATGAAGCTCTCTGATCCCTAGTACATGTAGGCTACAATCCAATTACCATGGACTACCACTGCTCATAGTGTTGACCCAAATTTTCACATTTTAGCCCAGTCTTGAAAAATTACTTAGATTTGTTTCCTATCTTATGTACTAACAAATTTTTTTAGGAGTAAATATGTGGTGCTTCTTAAATTCTAGTGCAAGGAAATTAATAATTTAAAAGGTGCCGTCTTCTTAAAAAAACAGCTATGGAACAAAACAGCAACAACTATCAGTGTATTAGGTTACATTTTGTGTTCATTCTATATTCTGTATTCACCATTGGCTGCAAATTGTCTTTATTGTTTATTCATATTTGTTTTTGATTTGTTTTATATTTTTAGAACAGGTTTTTTTGTTGTTGTTTTTTTCTCTTTTTAGAATATAGTTTTTAAATTTCTTTTTGTAAGACCTTTTTATTCTTTCCTAAGGATTTTATGCGTCTAATAAATATTATTATAATGATTGCATTTTACATGTGTTGTATAGTATACTGGTATATCATATGAGACATATTAAACATCATGGCAGTTGCCTTGATACTCAAATGCATTGGTGCCCTTCAGAACTTTCTACACAAATTCAATCAGTTCAGGGAATTCGTAATTTTGACCTTGAAATTGGGTGCCCTCTCAGAATACTGAAGTTCAAGCCCTGATGTGACAAATTATGGCAACAACTGCGCTTCAATTTATCAACATGTACGATTGTATGCCTAGATACAGTAAATTAATGACAAAGGTGTGTCTATGTTCAAAATAAAATCATATTTTCATGATCAAAAATGTAAATCTTATGCAGCTAATATACAATGCACTATAATCTATAAATTATTCATTTATGTGAAATCCACCAAATTAAATCCATGTGAACATGTAAATTCACTGTAGAATTCATGGTGTCACTGATAAATCTGTGAATTTAAAACTCTGTGAATATGGTCAAATTTACAGTAGAATTCATGGTTTCACTGATAAAACTGAATTTAAAACCCAGTGAATATGCTCAAATTTACAGTAGAATTCATGGTTTCACTGGTAAATCTGAATTTAAAACCCAGTGAATATGGTCAAATTTACAGTAGAATTCATGGTTTCACTGGAATGTTTGTGATATGGTCAAATTTACAGTAGAATTCATGGTTTCACTGATAAAACTGAATTTAAAACCCAGTGAATATGCTCAAATTTACAGTAAAATTCATGGTTTCACTGGAATGTTTGTGAATTTAAAACACTGATTATGCTCAAATTTTCCAAACAGAGAAATTAAATACCAGTGAAAATTAATACTTTCACAGTAACTGCTTAGTTTAAGCCTCGGTGACCTCAATATTGGGTTCCTACACAATGTACAAGTGTAAAAAATATTTACATGAAATTTGACCTCTACTGCAGCACAGCAACTATGCCACTTTAAATTTAGGATTGGCACAACAATGGTAACAACTGAATAAAAAAAACAATTATAATTAAACTGTGTGAAAATATTTACAGATACCTTCTGTGCAATATACATATGTGAAAATATGTTGAAGTGATCACAAGCCAACAAACATGTAAGTTCACAGACAACAATAAACATCTCAATATCACTGGCAGATGTCCTAGGTTTTGGCAAATGCTTATCAACATAGTGTGACTGGGCATAAAATGGCATAGTACATGTATATTTTAAAACGTCAAGGATCAACAAAGTCATTTTCAAATTACATATGGAGAAAATAGATTGAGGGATTCAAAATTCAATGGGAAACAAAAACAAAATAATCCAGAGTGCATATATATACACAGCATACACAATAGAGATTATTTCTCAATCCTTCAAATAAATGTACAGATTGAGAGATATATGTAAATTGCAATGGATATATGTATTACCAAAGACACTAAAGAAGTGTCTTTGGTACGGTATTACTAAGGCCAAATATTATATTTCAATAACCCTATCCCACCTAAAATTTATTGCCATTTTAAGTTTATACAGTGTTCTCTGATTTCTCAATAACAGACTGGCTTCACCCTCTTCTGATTCTCAGTGAATTCTATGCGGCTTTCACACACTGAGGAAATCAGTAGACGAGACACCAAAGGCTAATTTTATCTATGCTGCGCTAACTTTGTATACGAACACAGAAATTTGCTGGAATTGCCTATAAGCATTCAGGATCTGAATTGAATGTGAATTCACTTTCATTTCCTGCATGTGGAATGTGATACAAGTTTTAATGATGAATTTACAGTTGTCCAAAACACAAAAAAAAAACATTTGGGTGTCTTCAAATCGAGATAAATTTTTGAGAATATCTAATTTCTACTTAAATATAAGATAATTTATTAGTATGCCACCGTAATGTATACATTGGTCAGAAGAATGTCTTCCCATTTAAAAAAAAATCTCTATTTTGGTGTTGCTGAGTATATCATATATCACATCACACTGCAAGATAGTCAAGCCGTATGGCATACAAGCGAGGACTATATAAGAATACGTCGGGGTGGGGGGAATACATGTATGAATCTAAATGCAAATTGGGGGATTAATGCATGCAGTGAACAGCCAGAGTAAATACAGGTAGTAAAGATAACTACTAGTATTAAAGAACCATACTATACAATGTGGACCAAACACCTTCGCAGTAGCGAAGTAACGTAATAATGCATGTTTACGTATGTCGTGCACGTGAAAATGCACGGTTCACAGAACGTGCGCGCAAGGTTGGCCGCCAAGAGTTCGTAAAAACAAACGACGAAAACGCTCGTAATATAAATCTGGCAACAACTTCACACTCATGAATGTACGTAAATCAGGACTTACCTTGGATCAACCGATGCCACAACTTGCACACCAAGGAACCCTGTTTCAGCTGGTCATACGGCGACAAGTAAGAAAGAATACGCTCAACGATTTCCTCTGGTAAAAGGTTAATTTGCAGGTCGTATACAGGCCGTGCAAGAGTCGCCATGGCTGAAGTTGAAAGGAGGTATTACAGGGGAAAATGACTAGCTATAGACGACATGACAGAAAAATCATCAATGAAAATAGCAGCTGAACTGTTTAACATCAAATGGAGCCTCGTTCGCTTACTTGTTTCAATAACAATGAATACTCTTATCAAACATAAATATAAGTACTTCAAATTTGCTAATTGTAATATTTTTATAAAACTTGTATTATATATGAATAATCAATTACAATATTTCGATAACAATTGTAGGATGTTTGGCCATGATTAGATAATAGTTGAAAGAGGCCAAAATTTCAAGATGGCGACCTACTGAATGTTTGGTGTCTCCGTAGTCGCTAAAAGTCTTTCGTGCGTAGACAGTCTAGTGTATGTTACTTTGAAATATCCCAAGAACTTTGCAAATTTGTGGTGGACGAGATTACATTCTCATGTCACACGTGTCTCAAGGTATTGTTGTATGGTTAATGTTCTGTGATAAACGTTGTTCTAGTCTCGTCAGTTGTCGCTGCAGCTTGCAAGTCACCAACGTCAAGTGTGAACCTCACTGTCGTGCCACTGGATTAATCCGCAGGTGCGTACGTAATATGCCGTGTGAGTAGTAATCGAACTACCGTCAATGAAGTGTATGTAAAACATAGATCTGAAGAAAAGAATACTCCAGAGTCGTTGCCCTACTACACCAGACAGGTGTTAACAATTTTTACCGCAAGAGGGCGCTTTGTTTACTATGAAATTGTTCATGAAAAATTGCCTGAATATCTTTTCCTGCAATCGGAATGTAGGTCAATATAGTCAGATATTTTTTCATTAGTTTTAATCAGATCGAGGCATATTTTAAAGTTATAGCTTTGAAATGTTGTGTCCTCAGAATACCACATTGCAAGCATTTTTCATATATATGAATCTTGTGTCAACAAGGATGGCTACTTAGAAGAAGTTCCTCAAGGCCTATCTCACCCCTAACCCAAACTCTATAACATTACAACTCCAGCCCCAATATAATTGTTTATGCCCATCCAGATAATTTTACGTTTCCTGAAGAGGAGCACAATTAAGTGGCGCCCAGTTCAAAACTCGTACTCGTGATTTCATTAGAAAAGCGCATTTTATTTAGTTTTAGTTTTAACACCTGATTATGATTGATCTAATTTTTCCACAAATATTTCAATCACTACGATGCCACATTTCATTCAGACATTCTACATTGTTTCTTCTTCTTAGTGGTATATATGGCGAAAATTCTTGAAATGAACTCTGCCGCCATGCATGATGCTTTGGTCCATGATGAAGACATGGGTCATCTGGTCCATGATGACTGGCACAAGACACCAGAAGGGAAAATCTATTTCTCTTCTGTTTTAAGAAACAACAGGCGAAAAACCTTTGGTAGGTTTCTATTCTCGTCCCTTCTTCTGACGATTGATGGTTTAAGCATACAAGGAAAGTTCAAGAATTCAATGTACTGTGTTTGTGCTACATATTTGAAACACATCTTTTTTTTGAAGGAATTTTTAGAATACACTTACACAGTATAAATATACTAACTTTTCATTAGTTCAATTTTGTAAGCATGTGTGCTTGTAATCGAGTTAACCTTTTCACCACCAGTTCCCTCATCACAAATTCATACAAATTCTGCCCTTTCCTTCAGAAGACTGGGATAGAAATGGCCACATTTTTTTGAGTAAAAACTGAAAACCAACACAAATTTTGTCTGTTGGCCCAAAAACTAGGGTTCATTAAATATTAAAGATCATAAAAAAAAATGGGCAAGAAAGTCTGGTTACTCACTGTTTTGATGTTTCAAGATAATTTGCTACACTATATATTTACAAATATGTCATAATGAAAGTACATGTACTTAATTTCACATACTTGTACCTTGGCTTCAAGTGTATTTATCTTATATGTGTACCTCGTATTCCCTGGTCTTTTCCGCATGGGAAGTGCGCCCTAACATCAGGGCAATAATTTCCTGTATTACACCACAGTCCCTCAACACCAGTGTTGAGGGACTGTGATTACACCAGGCCCAGCGTGTCTAACTTTCATCTTTCAAAACAAAACATGTCATTCTAATTTACGTTGTGTGTTTGAGGTCATGCCATGGTAAAATAGTAATTACACCAATAAGGTATATGATAAAACCTTTATGGACTGGATATGCAAGTCTGGGCGCTTCTGTCGTACGATCTCAGGCCGTATCCAGTCTATAAAGAATATAAGCAATCAGTCTAAATAGTGTTATCCCCAGCAATATGTATAGTGGCTAATTTGCCTATGAACATGGTGTTAATTAATCATTTTGTCATGCTAAAAAGTCTAATATCCAATTAAATTGAAACCTTGTGAATAATTAAGCTTTTATTAGTGGGACATACTTGTAGTTCAGGTCAGTCACACTGGTGTACAGTACCAGCTGATTACCCAGTACCGGTAATCTCGATTTCAGACACCTTAAACATTGAGGGCGCCTTTTCAGACAACAATTTTTCATACATGCATAGTGTTGGTACACTAAATCTGTGGATGCAATCTGATAAACATGTCTGAACTTTCTACAAACAATTTGAACTTTGGTCGTAGGTAAAGAAATTAAGTTTTTTGACGAAGAACAAGAAATCATTGAAATCTTACAAACAAATCAAAAATGAAAAGAAAATGCAACAGATTTTGAGATTGGATTAAACATAATATAAATAATTAATATTATGATCGCTTGTTGTATTTATTTTTTAGGACTTCTTGAAAGGCCAAGTTTGTCTCCTCAGCACACCCCAGACACACTGACATACAAAGTATTTCTCTGCGGTAAAGCTGGAGTTGGTAAAACAGCAACAGTTTCAAAACTAATGGGAGTAAATGTACCTCCTGTGCATTGTGAAACTCCAGGTAAGTTTACAAGAATCATTCAAGAGTACAGCAAAACCTGTGACTACATCTAATTGTATATAAAGACCACCTGCCTATTGTGACCACCTTTAGGCATTCCCAAGGTATAACATCTTGTGACCATTCTTTCCGAAAATATAAATGCATTTTCTGTGATTGAGACGTTTCTAAATCAACAACTGAACTGAATAATTTTCCAAGTTTTATTTGATTTAGATGGATTTGTATTTGGTTTAGACAAGATCATAGTCTCTGAATATTTTACTGTATTAGTGGTGTCTATGTATTTTTGTTAATCAGAAATATTTACAGAGAAGAATATTTAAGTTATTTATATATAGTTTATGGTTTTGTCTACAATAAAAAGGGGATAAAAAAAATTTTCAGTTTAAAAAGGTCAGCAGAAAAGGGACTTGAAATGGTGTTCAGTTTAGAGAGGTTTGATGTTAGTGGAGAAGAGACTGGAAAATGGTGTTCAGTTTAGACAGGTTTGATGTTAGTGGAGAAGGGACTGGAAAATGTTCAGTTTAGACAGGTTTGATGTTAGTGGAGAAGGGACTGGAAAATGTTCAGTTTAGACAGGTTTGATGTTAGTGGAGAATGGACTGAAAATGGTGTTCAGTTTAGTGAGGTTTGATGTTAGTGGAGAAGGGACTGGAAATGGTATTCAGTTTAGAGAGGTTTGATGTTAGTGGAGAAGGGACTTGAAATGGTGTTCAGTTTAGACAGGTTTGATGTTAGTGGAGAAGGGACTGAAGATGGTGTTCAGTTTAGTGAGGTTTGATGTTAGTGGAGAAAGGACTGAAAATGGTGTTCAGTTTAGTGAGGTTTGATGTTAGTGGAGAAGGGACTGGAAATGGTGTTAAGTTTAGAGAGGTTTTATGTTAGTGGAGAAGGGATTGGAAAATGTTCAGTTGAGAGAGGTTTGATGTTAGTGGAGGAGGGACTGGAAAATGGTGTTCAGTTTATAGTGAGGTTTGATATTAGTGGAGAAGGGACTGAAAATGGTGTTCAGTTTAGAGAGGTTTGATATTACATTATTAGTGGAGAAGGGACTGAAAATGGTGTTCAGTTTAGAGAGGTTTGATATTAGTGGAGAAGGGACTGAAAATGGTGTTCAGTTTAGACAGGTTTGATGTTAGTGGAGAAGGGACTGAAAATGGTGTTCAGTTTAGAAAGATTTGATGTTAGTGGAGAATGGTCTGGAAAATGGTGTTCAGTTTAGAGAGGTAAATGGAGAATTAACTGGAGCAGACACCCCAGTGTTTGCCAAATTAATTGTGAAGTCCACTGAATTATTAATCAAATCATTTGAAATTCATTTCCAGGTATTCTTACATCAGTATTATACTGGCCAGCAAAAATTGCAGATAGAATTCATATGTTTAGATTTCATTTCTGGGATGCCGGGGAACAAGCACTCAAGAAGTTTGACCACATACTTCCCGTAAGTCTTGACACGTGTATAGAATCATATTAACAACTTTATTAATTTCATGAGACAAATTTTCAAAAATAAAAAGTTGCAACCTGAGGTTTTTAAATTTTTTTTAGAATTATTTTCGTTTATAACTTATGATTACAATTACTAATTATTCAGACAGAGGCGATATATTATATAACAGACTGGGTCTTATCATTAAACTTTAATTATTAAGTGCATATTTATCATATTTCTTCTATTAAAATCATATATCTAATAGAAGTGCATATAAACCAAAAAGTGCATTTATTGTATATTGAATCATTCAAATATATGCTTTTAATAGAGCATGTATGCCATTGTTCTTGCCAAGACTAAGTGAAATCAATATTTGTATGCAGACCTTAAACTTCACTATTACCGGTACAAGAGCACCCCATTTTATGGCCAATATATGTTTTAAAAATGCCATAGAATCATAAAAATTGTGAAGGGGGAGATCAAGGCGTTCAAGGTGTGCCTTGCCATGCCATGAACATGCAATTAGTAAACTACAACAACATCAAATTCAATGTCAACAAGTTTACAAAATGAATGGTATAACAGCTATATCACATTCAGTGTATGAATGAATGAATACAATGGAACATTGACATAAATGACCGCCACGGTCTCATCTCACCTCCCTCTCCCCTCAAAAAGTGTTCTATTCCCTACTGTCAGCAATCAAGTTACCCTGACTTATGTAACCATGGTATTTGGAACGGTGGACTTGATGACGGGGGAGAAAGGACAACTATTTGAAGGACAAAAACTTTCTTATGACCCTCTCACTCCCAAGATGATCTCAGCAACCATTTTTGTCCAAGGTCAGCTTCCATGCATGGTTGAGAAAGATGCACTCACATATGATCAAAGTATTTTCATCACACAAATAATAGAAGTGTACACTTTACCCATATATATTTTTAGTGGTTTGCCTACTTTAATAATCAACTTACTTCTAGAAAACATACCATTTTCATTAATTTCTTCTTTTATTTTAGGCTTGCATGGAAAAGGTAGATGCTGTATTATTCTTATTTTCCTTCACAGACCATCCAAGCTTTGACGATCTAGCCAATCAAATGTCTCGTATTTCCAGCACAGATGATGGCGCCCTCAAAGTAGTCGTTGGAACAAAATATCCTTTTAATTGTCACCATATACTATTGGGTAATTTGTTTTTACAACAAATGCATTTTAGCCAATTTGTAGAACAATCTGGACATTATATTGGTGGTAAAGGAAACATGACTTTTAAAATCAGGAATCTGTTCATAATGCAATCTGATAAGCCCTCGACTCGACACAGTCCAAGTGCCGATAGATCAAGTTCGATCTGTCTGTTGCAGTATCTCAGAAATTTCATGGAGAAATTTATGGATATACCAAAGATTTGTTTCTGTTCAGATACAGAATGGCCGACTGGCAGCCATATTTTACACCAAAAAAGCCTGAAAACCTCGCAGCATAGCATACTAAGGCACATTTAGTATTTTTCCGATTGTTTTCAAAATTGGCCAACTATTTTTATATATATTTTATATACCGGTAAATTACTCAGATTTTGCTAAGAAGCAGATGCAAGTTGATTTTTGTTGAAATTCTACGCAATATGGCTGACCAGCTGCCATTTTATTTTCTAAACAAATCAGGAGACTTGTACCTATTTTGAGGGTGGCAACCGACCCTCAAAATGAATGTAGATTTTGTTGCTAGGCTACACTAAATACACACAGACTTCATAAATTGCATATTGTTTGGTTGTCAAAAATGTCTCTGTATTGAGTGATTATCTCCCAATCTGGTGAATTCTTCTAATTTCCAAAAAAACGTGTCTTGCTGTTTGTGTGTAGCTGCCACTCTGTGCTGTAGATGCATAGATAGAATAACATTTATTTCCTTAATTCCAACCTCACATATGACCAATATGCCCACAGCGAAATCACCTCAAGGGAGTTGCAAGATTTTGAACACCAGCATAAAGTACCAATTTTAAAAGTCAAAAACATCAACAAGGCACGACTTAATGATTCCGAGAAATCCCCTGATGGCAGAGTTGAGCTTGATGATGTTGCACCGTTCCTGAACTGTCTCGCCGAGCGATTGTGGTATCGTGACCAGATAGCTGTCGGACTTGTTTAATATGTAGATATTTCCATTAACGATAAAAATCATAAAGTAAATTATATAATCTTGCCAAATGATTTTACTGTAACAAAGTTATTTTTGTATTGCTTCAATCTTATGCGCAATTGAATATCCTATGATGATTTGTTTATATATCGCCCTCAATCATCAGTATTAAACTTCTTTTGTTTTTTTTTCCCTCGATGTTGTAAAATAATTATGTACTCAAAATTGTTGGAAATTTATTTATGTGGGGGGAAAAAATTTAATGCTATAAAAAATGGTAAATATTTTTGTACAAATAAAGTTTTTATAGAAACGTTTTAATTATTGTCTTTTGTGGATTTCATGATCTGTTTTTCTAATCTGGAAAGTACATAGTCAGTCAGCTGGCTCAAAAGTGATAATAAAATAAGCTTTATTTAGTTTCATGCCATATTCAAGATGGCGGCCCCCATATACATTTGTAGTAAGTATCCCATTTATTTTATTACCACTTGTGCGCCAGCTGACTGTACCTCGTGGGAATGTTTTCTGCATTACCATGGAATGTACAAGATTGAATAATCTCAACACTGGCTAGGTCTGACAAGGCAATGTTTAGGGCTAATAATAGATAGAAAACTCCATGAATTTCCTTCATCGCTTTCAATGCAGATTTATCACATACTATTAATGCAGTCTCATTTTATTAACCATCTCTAATTTCATTGTTAATTTTAAATAGTACGACTTAGTAGAAGGTGGATAAATCAACCAGCCAAGGTTTGTTCATTCGGATATCACTTTGGACGATTCTGTGTAAACTGCATTCTGCACATGAACATTCATCAGTATGTCCACAGCCAATCAGAATCCATGCCAATTCTGAATGGATGCACACCCCATGCAGACACTGATTGAGATACAATCTGGGATTGTATGCTGTATTACCAATGTCTAAAATACAACCTTTTGATTAAATCACTAATTACTATGGCTTTGTGTAAAGTATGTTTGTTTAAAGTTCATATTGTGACTAGTTTTGAGTTAAAGCGCCATCAGTTTTAATGCGAGAATGGGAAGTTGATTTCTAGCTTGTGCAATTGATTCACTCGTGGTCAATGTTCTGATGAGCTATTAAAGCAGAGGGGTCATCACCTGCGCACGTGGGGAATTGAGTTCCAATTGACTTGAATTGACTCGCTATCAAACACGGCCAAATCAACCCCCTCTACACAGACAAATTTGACTCGATCAATAAATCAACAGATTTTTAATTTAGCTAATCTCGGCAATCTCATTGTGAGAATATACATTATTTTCAAGTACCCTCATTTTAATTATAGTGGAGACAACATCGATTGTAACTTCTGGCTTTACGAAGAGGTACGCACCCTTATATCTATTTGGCAGAGTAAAGAAATACTGCTATAGAGTCACCGACATGTTCCTTCTAGGTTTAGTTTGATAATTGTTACACATATCACAACAGTTGAACAATCAAAAGATTTTAAACTTAAAGGGCAGTGGTTGCTGCATCACACATGCATGAGATATGCGACTCGTATGAATAAAGATGGCGATTTTGACTGTTGCGCAGACCAACGAGTACAAACTGAGACATTAGTAAGATTTAACTATGTAATTTCCATGGTGATTGGAAGGTATCTAAAGAGTCGTCAGCGGTAATTATTGCATGTCGCGTCCAGATCAAGACTTGTACTCTGGATTTCCAGCAGAGCGCATTGGATTGTGGGAAAATTAATGTTTATCAAAACAAATGTCGCACATTCGCTGCGCAACAACCTTTGCCCTTGAAGTGTATTTTAGCTGCTGTGTATCCTGTTTATTCGAGATACCTAAATCATAACACCAGTGCATTGTTTCAGATTCATGACTGTACAAAACAACACAACACCAAAATCATTTTCAGCCATGTTGTTTTAATACGTAATGCAAAATATAGGGTATAAGGGAAATTTGCCTAATTTTATATTCACAGAATCAATATTTCAGCGACAATACAGTAGTTAAATTAGCTAAACAGATATGATTTACAGTATCTTTTTCACATTTTAAGTTAAATCATAGATTTATATAAAGAAAAAAAAGAATACAGACAATTTTGTGGCTGACAAGCCACACATGTTGACTCAGTTTTATTGACAAAAGTTCAGGTTGTGGTTTCATGTCAATACAGGCAATTTTTTTTAAATTACACTTCTGCATGTTTTTTATCGTAGTTATATATATGATAATTTCAAGTTGTGCACACCTTGAAAGGCCTCACGTTTTAACAAAACTTGAACAGGCACACCTAAGAAACAGTTGATTTCAATGAATATGCCTACCAATCAGGTAACTTTTAACAAAATCCCCCAGATAACGGAAGTGAACATGAAGTCCATTATGTCTTTGCACCAAATTTGGTCACCAATTGGTCAAATGTCAATGAAAAGAGAAACAAATCGACATACACATGTCCCTCATCACACTCTCCAGATATATTCAAATTACACAGCATTCTGAGTAATTCAACAGAATGGATGAGCAATTATGTCTTCATAGAAATCTACTGTATTTTGAGAGATCCCATCAATCTTGGACATATTCAATAAACTACACGGACTACATGTATATCATTGTTGTCTCATCTTCAGTTTCATTAGTTCCTTTATAAACCTGAATGTGAAAATGAATTATTATCAATAAGTTAAGGTGCTAATTATCCATTATGAAAAAGCTAAGGTGACACTATATAAATGTATTGCAACACTAAGAGCAGCTTTAATTTTAAAAAAAATGTTGGAAATTGACAATTTTCTAGCAGAAATAATTTTATTAGTATAAATTTTCTCCTAGATTGTCATTTGAGAAAAAAAAAAATATTTCTGACTGGTTTGAATGACAAATTAGTAAAATAATTCACATGTCAATCTAAATTATGGTTTTGAGCAAAACTTCTACTTTAGAATACCTACGACTGATAGGCACCAAACTTGTCCTAGTTATAGCACCCTCAGTGGCAATACCAAACTTGTTCTAGTAATAGCGCCCTCGGTGGAAATATTACCGGATGATTTTTTGAGACACACAAGTCCAAAATATCATGGAAATTGGTCAAAATTGAGATTATTTATTCATATCTCAAAATTTTTTAGGTGACATGGGATAAAAAAGTAATATATTATTATTGATATGAAATCTAACATTCCCAAATCATTTAAAAAAAATTGACATATAATTTAGTAATTTTCCAGGGTTGATTCTAGTTTTCCATGATATACAATGGGTGATTATCTCCCACAATGCATTGCATATATGTGCAGTAACATGCTCAGTAGTGCAAAATTTGAATTTGGTTAAACTGCCTAAAGTTGTTATTTCTTTCCAGACTGGTGTTACTTACAATTGATTGGCTCTCTTCCAAGTTGAACTTTAACCCTGTTACAGAACTTAATGCATCTTGTATACTCTGTATACTCTGAAAATGATGACAATACTGGTAATGTCAGTTACATGTATATCGGCAACATACCTGATTTTAAACATTTCGTGATCACTAACAGCATTTTGAGCACCAACGTAAACTCTTGTTTTTGTTCCATAATAAATCTAGATTAATTTTTTTCAAAATTTTTTCAACAAATTTGATTAAGAAGTGAAGCAAATTATTGAAAAATCCATAGAAACCGTTCTGACAAATGAATTATGCTAGTGCTGGTCATCATGAAAATACAGTATGAATGTTTTTTCAAAACATTGAATGTGGATAACATATGCGATGATGATTAAAATGTTAAATGTTCAACCCATCTTGTGATTTTTTTCACTGATTTGTCATAAATCCCATGAAGTTTACTACCAGTACTACAGATCTGCTTGTAACAGAGTAAAATACAGTAATTCACACATATATTTTGGCAAAATCAAAAACTCAAAGGGCGGCAGTCGTCGTGCTGCGTCCTGTTCGATATGGGACTCATAGCGATGTATACAACGCGTGTAAAATACAGTGTTTATTTACATGAAATTCAAACATGCGACGACCACCACGCTTTAAATAACTTGTATATACCTGTAATGAACCATCTTGTTTATTGGCTTTTCCTCTTGTAGCTTTATGACCAGCTACCAGCAGACACCTTGTTGGAATTTTCTCAATTATTAAAAATTGCAGCAAAATATTCAATACTGAATCGGATATTCTGGCGTCTTGTGGTAATGGTGGATTTTTGGTTTCTGAAAAGAAATTAACACAAAGTTAGTCTCGCAGTGGGATAATTTTACTGTAAAATCTGTATCGAAAGCCGCATCCCTAACAGAAGTAGCACCCATCCTTTTTGTGTAATTTCTATAAAAGAAACTGCAGCTTCTATTACAGATTTTAAAAAATATTCAAATTAGTATCAAAATACCGCACAAATCCTCCATGTTGTACTAGAATCTGTTCAGTATCGCTCCAACACATTCAATAAATTTTCAACCTTTTCACCACCAGACTTTCTCACCCCAATTTTTCTGACCCTTTTTCTTATATTTCAGTTAACATAAAATTTGAGTTTTTACTAAAAATATTTCGGCTATTTTTGTCCCAATCTTCTGAAGGAAAGTACAAACTATAAACTATTATTTTGTGAATTTGTAAAGAAAAGAGGTCACTGGAGGTGAAAAGGTTAAATACAATAATATACCTTCATCATCGGTGTCATCCACTTTTGTAAAACTAAAAGTAGAATGCAATTTATGAATTTTTTACACGTCTGCATAGTTTTTGTGCGCATAATATAAGGTTATTACGAAGATACCTCAAATTATGCACGAAGACAGTACAGCAGCAGTATCGACCGACGCGCAGCGGAGGTCGATGCGACAGCATACTGTCTGAGTGCATTGGTACTTTGAGGTATCTTCGTAATAACCTTATTATTATACATCTTTTCCTACTAAGGATACATCATGGGAATGCAGAATCCAAACAATTTAGAACAGAATCAGCGAACTTCTTTGTGTGAAGTCCAGTCAAACCCTGGTGGCAGCCATGTTTGTTTTTATTATTACAGGACGCTTACGCGCGTAATCATTCCATATTTGAAAATACCCCGTAAAATACCGCAAAGTTACGACACGCTGTAACTTATGGCGTTACGGTGACAGATGTATAATAATACATTGTATTTTATTTCCATTAAAATCTGTCTACAATTAATCATTTCAGTTCTCGATCAATGTATTTTTTTTCAGTGAAATGGTAAATGCCATTTTAGCAATGGTTTCCACAGACCGGAATAAAACATACTTCACATTTATTAAAAACCCACTGAAAATATTATCACTTTCTTCTAGACCTTGTATGTCATAAGCAAAATTTTGTGATATTCAGATATATTCTTGCCATAGAAAACCACTGTAAAATGCTCTTACAGACAAACATATTATTTGCACTGTATTTTATTAATTGATTTTATTTGAACTAAAAGTACAGTGACCCCATATTTTTAATCCATTGCTTCATCCATGTATTAACATGAAAAATTAAGTATATAAAAATAAAAAAAATATTCAACAATATTTTTACTTTTGTGCAACGTTCTACCCCAAATATGTTTAATACAGTTTCACAAATATATTGAGAGTTTTTGCATTTTACTACGGAGTAGTTTACTTAAGAGATTATTCTATTATAAGCTGTAAGCCATTATAAATGATGGTCACCTGCCTCAATTTGGGGAGAACAGCATGTCAATTAACTGATTCTAAGAGGAAACACGCCCCTTTCAAATATGAAAAGCAAAGTACTCTTTCAAATATAATTTTTCAATTCAAATTGCTGAGTGGGTTTGTGAAAACGCGCAAATCAAAATAATATAATTATTATAGATTTCATGTTTGCAATAAACTACTAAATCCTCAAGAATAAAACATTGTTTTTTTCAAATTGGCATTATACTTGTACTCGAGCCTGTGTTTGAACTATAGATGGGACTTAGCACACATTGTAAAATTGAAACAGTATTTTAAACAGTACAAACGAATCCCTTTTAAAATGAAAACTTTCATCACAAGTTTAAAACTCAAATGCAAAAAATAAATGGTGAATAATTTTAGATTTGATATGGCTCAGTTGGTTGTTCACGAGTCTAATTCAGTAGTATGGGAAATGTTTCACAGCTGATTCCTCACTCCAATGTATCAGTCTGCCATTCAAAAACGTTGCTATTAGTAACGGTTTAAATTACAGCCATGGAAACAAATTTTTATTTTTAAAAAAGAACAGATATTACATAATTTGTGGGTACCAAGATGATCACATGCCTTGTTGTGAAATCTGAATACTATTTTTACTTGAGTCATTGTGAACACAGTCTAGTTAAGGTTAGACCCCTACTCATAAATGTGAACACCAAGAATTTATAATAAATTGTACTCCCGGCAATATAAGGTTATTGACTATTAAGTTTGGGGTCACCAGCCTAATTTTTGAGAAAATAATCATTGTATTTTAGTGGAAAGTCAGCATTTTTGACACTATTATAATGCTTTTACCACAGGTTTCCATGGCAGAGATATTATGCAATATCTCAAAATCTAGCCTGGTGACATAGGCTGAAAAAATATACCGGTATATTGTGGATGATTGGATAATTTTTGTTGTCCTGAATTATTTAACAAATCTGGGTTTTAAAAAGTGTCCAAAATTGCAATTCTTCTTTAAGCTTGTGTTCCATGAAATTGTTATTATTAGCACAAAAGAATGCATGGGACAATAGCATGGTTTTAAGTAATTAGCACATCACTGCATAAAGCCTCCTCTAAAAATGAATGTGAAAAACAGAATCAATAGACGATGTGTTAAACTATAATGTATAACAACCTTTCAACTTTAAGACTGAAAGACACAGTTGTATGACTCAATTAAAGATGTAGTTTTTTTTGGCCTATGTTAATAATAAAGCTGGTAAATCCTTTCCCAGCAATAATTAGTGTGAGCCTCTACTACATCTTTAATACATGTCATATCAGTTAAAACATGTCATGCCCTGGGTCTCGTGTGAAATAGGATGCATGCAAATTAAATAACATTGTTTATTTACTAAAACAAATTTCTTCATGGTACTTTATGACAAATACTAAGCACCATATGAATGCCAGCTGTTGTATAAAATGTTTTGACATAATACTTACAGTACATGTATTTAACCTTTTCACCACCAGTTCCCTCTTTTGATCACAAATTTACAAAATAGTCTCATTTATAGTCAACACTTTTTTTCAGACAATTGGGGAAAAAATGGCCAAATGTTTGGAGTAAAAAGTGAAAATTGACTCAAATTTTGTCATTCCCAGAAATATTCAAGAATATAAGAAAAAAAGTGCAGACAAATTTGGATGAGAAAGTCGGCTAATGAAAAGATTAATCTAAAATGGAAAAACACACTTATATAATTGACAGAGGTATGTCTATAGTCAAAATAAGTCATATTTTTATAATCCAGAATACAATACATGTAAATGCAATTTTGTGTCTAGATGTGCTTCCATTGTAGATGCGCTTCTGATAGATCAAACAGGATAGTACGTGTTATTTCCTTGTCACATTAAACTGAAATGGAATTACCTGGTTTTATGTGAATACAGTTTTCATATACCCCTTCCAGTTGCTGTGGTCTGTTGGGATCAGATCTGATGGCGGCAGTTAGTACAACTTGCTCTACATTACTAGGATTCAAACAAAACAAACAAAATGGACATATTTAAAGAGTTAGTTATAAAAAAATGAGGAAATGATGTTATGATAACAGATGTACAGGTGGAGGTTTCGGACACCTTTTTTGATGACTAATAAAATCACCTTCAAGCTTTGAAGTATCACCATGTTGTGTTTGATATGGTTTCTATAGTGATGTATTACAATGTGTTTAAAAACACTGATTTTTACACATGCAGTTCAGATTGTGATGTATGTTACATGGAAGCTATGTATTTAGCATGTAATACCATTATGTAATACTGACATCTACGTTCAGTTTGAGAAATAAAGTTACCCAGTGGTCACTGGTGGACAAGACAACATGGCGGCAAAATCATTATTTTACATGGTGTCAGAAGTTGACGGATAAAATGGCACTCTCGAACATACAATTGAAACCCCCAGTGTCCCTTAGCCTGGATGGCAACGTCGCACAGAACTGGAAGGAGTTCCGACGGAGCTGGGAATTGTTCTCTCTAGCAGCAGAACTGAATAAAAAAGTCGCCACATTCCTCCATGTTGCCGGGATCGCAGCGCAACAGGTATTTGAAACATTTCAGTTTACTGACGCCGATGATAAGAAGAAAATCGAGCCAGTCATAAACAAATTCGCTGGTTATTGCGAACCAAAGAAGAATATCACAGTAACTCGTTACTTATTTAACACAAGACATCAAAAGATAAACGAAACGTTCACGGACTATTTGACCGCATTGCGCACATTGTTAAAAGACTGTAGCCTTCCCCCGGATTTGGCGAGCGAATTTTTAAGAGATCGTATCGTTTGTGGAATCAGAAATGAGAAGTGAGAGAAAGATTGCTTAGAACTGACGACTTGACCTTGCAAAAAGCAATCAACGCATG